ACAAATGAAACCCCCATGATGAATCCTATGAATGAATCCTTTTAGAATGTAAATTTTTTAAACCTATGCTCAACTTGTCAATTACCTATTCATTTTTTAAATATCTGCTTAAAATTATTATCTTTAGGATGGTTTGATGATGTCACTTAGTATCTAGCATTAGCAAAATTAATAATTAAATGGAATTTGAAATTTTATTAACAAGAAGAGCATGCATTTACAATTTCAGTAAACGATTCTTATTTGTTGATAAATAACAGTTTGTCTGTTTTCCTGCGTTTTTCTTTTGTTTCTTTCCGTAAATTTTCCATATTGCACCATGAAAAGTGATAGTACGTTGTTTTTAGGATGAAGAATAGTATTTGCTTTTAGTGTTCAAACTTTTTAATTCTGTATGTGTGATTCTTAAAATTATTTTCATTTAGTTGATAACAATTATAGTGAAAAAAACAAAGATTTCAAGCTGTTTATTATTGTTGGTCACTTTTTGTATGCTACCTACATATTTTCACGTAACTTTTGGTCTCCAATCTAAATACTGATGTTATGTAAAGGCTCTTTAGAATGTAAATGTCTAAAATATAGGATTTCCTTACATTCAAACCACGTGAAATAATGACAAATCTGTTAAACCATTGATGTAATCCATATTAGTTTTCGTTTACGTATATAACACCTATCTGGTTTTATACTGTAAAATTCCGCAATCATAAACACACTCCTACCTTTAATCCAACTCCAACTCAAGTCTTTTCAGTGTGATGCCTTCTCAGTTTTTTATCCTCTGTTCAGAGTGAGTGTTCAAGATGAAAATTATACTGCAATTTTAAAAGGGAAAAGAGGCTGGAATTGCTTTACTGCATTGTAAACGGTGGGTCGGGTGAGGAAGGGGGTGGGGGAGGGGTACACTGAGGATGTACGTTCACATTACTGTAATGAGCAGCCCTCCGGGGAATAAGGGAGTCCTTGAATTACTTCCAGGGAAGAGAGCGGCTCCCTGTTTGACACAGTTATCCAAAAGTTTACTCTGTGTTTTATAAACAGAACAGAATCGTTGCATTACATTACATAATTTACTATGAGTAAGTAGTATACCTATCTTTTGAGTAGTGAAAATAGACATATCGTCCTAATATTGACAATATTATTGACTTTGATTGGCAAATTAACCCCTCATCCTTGAAAGAAATCTACAGTTATGTCTGCTTTGTTTTTGTAACGATTAGAGTGCGCTGATGTCGATTGACTATTGTTTCCTTAATTCATTGTAGATTTTACGATTTGCCAATCAAATAATGTTTCGTTAAAATGCCAGGCTAACGTTTATTACTAGATCTGGGCTCAGGGCATTTGGTTAAAAAACTTCTAGCCTAAATAAGCTAACAATAAAAATCCAACTGGTCGGAATTAACCTTAAAATTGGGTCTACTGAATTAAATACCCCAACTAAAATGACTGTTTTTTGGGATTTTTTTACTCAAAGAGAAACATAGTTAAAACTGAGTGTGTCGCTGTTAAAATTCTATTTTCTCTCTTGAATTTTCGTTGTATTTTATTTCATGCTAATGGTTGGATAGTTAATACTGAATACTCTTTTTGCACCTACTGTGTAGAAAATGTTACGTTAGCTTTCATCCGAGCAAACCTTTAATAATCTAACACAATCGCGTTTTATTAAATTGAATTGTTTTACGGTCTTCTACATGACTATGAAAGTACTTATTGAAGTTGAACCACTTGTTTTTCCAATACCAATACCAGAACATCTGAGACAGAAAGTTCTTTTCTGGAAACTGAATTATATTACGTAATGAAAAGTGGTCCAGACAGCTTAACAAGTCCTTCGCGTTACTCAGTAGCACCTCCAATTATGCCTGGACCAATTAGCAGCTATTTTGGTCACATTTACCTGATTATTATAATCAACGAAATACATTCGGCGATTATATTGTTAGAAATAAACGCTAGTCCTTGGAACTTGAGAAAGCTCTGGGAAATCATTAACATCCTTTTAGACTAATTCGTTGTACATTTTTTGTTTTCAAAGTGTTGCTAGGTCAAAGGGATTTTGTGGCCGATCGACCTAAACAGGTGTGAAAACTATAATGCAAACAATTTTATTCTGGGGTACGTCTTTTTAGTCCAATTTGTTGTCAAGTTTTGTTTTAAATGTTTTGAAAGATCAAAGGGGTGCCAGTTCACCCTATAAACAGGTGTGAAAATCTAAGGCAGTAAGGAAGAATGTAAACAATTTGTATTCGGGGGCGGTGGTCCAAATCGATCCTTCCTCAACGCCCTCTCCTTATCTTGTTTCTCACCCCCCACCTTTCCACCCCACCCTATCAGCTGCTGGCTGGACCGAGACAGTTCAACCACCTCTACCTTCCCGTGGAGATGACATGTGTTCTGCCAAGTCAAAAGATACATTTAGTCTGCCCTTTTAAATAGATGGATCCCTTTTAAATGGATAAATTTTATCAAAGGGTTTATAGATACACGCAATCAATGTTGTAGACTTACCACAGAAGTGATTTGCAATAAGCTTCCCATTTATAAATTGTATGCTCAAGGACGTGTTTGGTTAAATCTATTTTAATAAATATTAAGTGGGTGTTTAGTTACCTTTAAAAATATGTTCTACCCTACAGAAAACGCAAAAATATTGTATTTTTAAGTTTTCAGTTCGTTTTGCGGTTTGTGGTTTATCAAACATAGGCCGATAACTTTTGCCGGAACACATTCGCGTAGAGAATAGTTCACAGCGTGTGTTTATTTTTTTCAAGAACTATATTGAAAAATAAAATGTTACTCAAACGTGTACGAGATTGTGTTTTATAGTACAAAGGAAGAGTCAAATCCGTGTAAGTTTTTGTCTTAAAATGCATAGATTTATCATTTATAGCCATAACTGCTTATGTTTTTGTTCGGGAGTACAGGGATAGGGCGACATTGTTATTAGTACAGTGCAATTAGCTTAAAAAAAGAGCAAACCGGGACATCCAAAAAAAGTTTCAAACCAGTGCCAAATTGTTGAATACACTTCCCTCAATATGTAAAAAAAAGTTACACTGATTTGAGTGTCGGGTTTGGGAGGGGAGGGGGTGAAAATATGACTTTTTTTACTTTTTCGCAAATACCTTGAAAACGATGCGTTTTTCTTAAAACATAATCAATTACAAAAATAATCTATATTAAATTTCGAACAAAATGATACCATACAATATCTATCTACTATGAACGGTTCAGGTAATATTGAGGGGTTAAATGTGATTTTTTCTTAAAATTCTAAAAAAGTTGTTTTTTAAATGGAGGAAACCCATGGACACCCATAAAAAAAGTTTCTAACAAGTGCCAAATTGTTCAATAAACCTCCCTTAATATGTATAAAAAAGTTACACGGATTTGAGTGTCGGATTTGGGAAGGAGGGTTAAAAGAAAAGGGGGGTGGATGGGACTTTTTTTACTTTTTTGCAAATACCTCAAAAACGGTGCGTTTTTCTCAAAATATAATAAATTACAAATATAATCTACATTAAATTTCGAACAAAATGATACCATACAATACCTATCTACTATGAACGGTTCGGGTAATATTGAGGGGTAAATGTGATTTTTTCTTAAAATTCTAAAAAAAGTTGTTTTTTAAATGGAGGAAACCCATGGACACCCATAAAAAAGTACACAATTTTTTAACCAGTCATTAACAAACTTGGTATGTATGTTGAGATAAAATAGACCCACGTTAGAAAAAAATTATCTTAATCCAATACAAATTTTAAAATGGCGACCATTTAATTTTTTAAAATTGAGAATGCAGATATTTAGTCAAATTTGCCTTAGTTTTATTTGAGAGTGTAGAGGTTTCACATTTCCGTGATTTTATTTTTATGTAATTTTAATTTCCTGGAGTGAGTAGTTTCATGTATATTATATTTGTTTGAGATTATGTTTGAAATAATTAAAGTACATTATCTAGAGTCACATTTGTGTGTGATTATGTTTGAGAGTACATTCCCTATAGTCACATTTGTGTGGGATTATGTTTGAGAGTACATTATCCATAGTCACATTTGTGTGGGATTATGTTTGAGAGTACATTATCCATAGTCACATTTGTGTGGGATTATGTTTGAGACTACATTATCAATAGTCACATTTGTGTGCGATTATGTTTGAAAGTACATTATCTAGAGTCACATTTGTGTAGGATTATGTTTGAGGATACATAATACTGTACCACCGTATAGAGCAACACATGCACGAGATTGTATTTGACAATACAGAGTCGTCTGGTTGCTAGGCGACCGCAGCCCGTCTCATCTATCCACAGAAAGCACTTTAACCCGACTGAAGCTCAAATGTGGGCCGTAAGTGATCCTACCCCGAGGAAATTGCTTAAAACCGATTTTCCTGGAGCAGGAAGCTCTGATATTGTAGGGGTTAGGAATAAATCGGCGAGGTTCGATGTGACTCAGTTATTACTGTCATACTTTACATCACTGTTTGGTGTGTTTTTGTGTGAAATTCAGGTTATAAACATAAATATAGTATGTAAATTGTAGACATTTGGGAAGTGGTTAGGGTTGGACAATGAAATTTACGTGCGAAAGCGTACAACCAAGTTAGATTATATTTTTACGACGGCAACACATCGCGATCTGTCTTTTAGGAGAAGGTGAGTGTTGATTAACGATGTCAATGCTACGACGAATGTAAATTAACGATGTTAGTGACAAAGATGAAACGGTTTTATAAGCCCAATGATAAAGGATAGCAAAGTCCTGTTTCTAACATTTAAAAAGCTTTTGATGTTTCTCAGGATTGAACCAGCAATCTTGTAATTTTTTGGTGCGCACTATATCTACTCAACTACGCAAAGCTATTGGCCACTGCTTAAGTTATTAGTTGAATTAGATAGTTATTTGCTAACATACTTACATTTTCATTTATAATATCAGTAAGGATGTTATGTGACCTCCTAACCCTACTTTTGGTTTCAGGGAGGTGTGAAGATGACACGATGGGTCCTATCTTCATCAAGGAGCCGCAGAACAGGGTAGACTTCAGCAACACCACGGGGGCGACCGTGGAGTGTTCAGCGAGAGGGCATCCTCCCCCGGAGATCATCTGGGTCCGCGCCGACGGCACGGCGGTGGGGGACGTTCCTGGACTGAGACAGGTAGGCCTACAGGATCATGCTCTGGTGGAGGAATATATACAAATGTTTACTGTCCAAACAAAAGAGAAGAGTGGATAAAAACTGCCAACTTCCAGTAATAGTTTTATCCAATTTTACATGTCCCACACCCACCTTCACATCATATAACGCTAGGTTCTATACCCAGAATAGTTTTTAGGTCTAAGGGTCGCGAAATTATCACATGGATAATGCCAATTTGTGATAGGTGGAATTTGCACTTAGGAACTCGGAGACCGAAGCCTCGTGCTTAACCACTAGACCAGCTTGCTCCCCAATCTTTTCAGTAAAAGCACTAGTCTGTGGTAAAAGTCACTTTCAGTAATAAAGCAATAAAGAGATTTACCCAGTGGCAACGAAAATAACTCAAACAAATATAAATCTGCACTTATATGCTGCTAAATAGGTTAATTCATCTTTGTATTCTCTAGTTTCGGTGTTTCCATTCGTGGGTCCGTTATTAGTTCGTGGTACACCTTGATTAATTTTGATCTATATTTTTATACAGTTATTCAAATCCAGAAGGTCCAATTAATTGGGGGATTAATTGTATGTATTGACCAAACAGTATTCAATATTCATGAGTACTCAGACACAAAAATAAGAACACGCTATTATTTTAACAATATTGAAAAAACACCTTTCTGGCTAAAATCTAAGTTCTATTGTTTCGGTGTTTTTTCCAGTCAACGGTTCTTTGTTTTCTAAATGTGCCATTTGGTAGCATGCAATTTTTGATATTGGATTATTTTCGTTTGATGCCGGGGGCCCTTTGGTCAAATTACTCTTACAGTAAACATTTTGTACTTTGGCTATAACAACTTTGTACTTATGGTAAATTTAATTTGTTTAATGACTTTTTAATACCTTACCTTACTTTGGGTTAGGTCTTAAAAAACATAACAACATAAGTTTAGAAGACATTCTGTCACACTAAAACCCTGTTAGAACGGAACGGAGCTATCAAAGAATTATGTGAGAGAGATTGTATGTTAGATTTTAGCCACTTCAGCAGTCTTCATCAGATAACTCGCCACACTCCACCTTACTCTATATAGTTTTCTGTTGAAGAGGACATGGCATGTGGTAACAGCGATGTTTACTGTGAAACATTCATTGTCAGTATTTTATTTTTCTGTTTCTTTGACATAGTTATTACCGCAGACAGTAGACAAGTTGGGTTCTTTGTACATACATAAATATTATATACATAAATACATGTTATTTATTCAACTCGACATCCTTATGGATCACCTGATGATATTTTCAAGATTCGTTTCTGTCCGATATAAGAAGGATGCGTGTTTCGTTTACTATTAATTTATTGTTTTTTTTCCTCCAGATTTAAAATTATTTTAAACAAATGAAATTTATTTGTAAACTTGTACCTCTGGTTATCTTATAGCTCAAAATAAAAGACTTAGAGTTCCCATATCCACGTTTTCTTACTGCGAAATACACACCCGTTTAGTGTGGCATGTTTTAAATAGATAGATAGATTCTACATACTTGCAGTATCCAATGTCAATGATTATAAAGTCGAATAGCCTTCCCTCATATCCATTTTATTCTGTGTTTGCTATCCTATACGATTGGGATATTAAACAATTTATTCTTGATTTTCGTGGAGTTTTTAGCGAATTTCCCTATAGAAAAGTAGCTATTACCGTAGGTCTCATGGTAAGACTTAGGCCCGGGACCGATTTACTTTTTCATTTTAATGTCCTCAGAGGCCAAAAACACCATTCGTTCAAATTTTTATATATGTATATATATATATATAGATATATATATAGATTTATATATATATATATATATGTCCGTGAACACGATAACTTGAGTAATTTTTATCCGATTTTGATGAAATTTGGTTTGAAGGTGTAAGGCGGGATAAACTTGAATGAGTTCGCGATCCAACATGATCGGACCATGGGAACAGGGTTTTATGGGGGGTTTTATGGGGTAAAAATTGGTTTTTCTCACTTTTTACCCTCAAAACACAAAATTTCCCAATTTTTCTCTAAACCTTCTTAAAGAGCTTAAAAAAACAAACAATTCAGTATATCAAAGTGTTTTTGTACGGTTATTGGTTACGGAGAAAACTAAAAAAATGGTAAATTTAAAATTCCCATGTTATTCTTATGGAGAATATTGTAAAATGTTGTAGTTTGCTTGTTTATGGATATATTTTGATCAAACTTGGCAAATTTATTTATTTTATAGTAAGCTATCAATATTTTACTAAAAACACACTACTTTATTAGTTTCCTTGTAGCAGCAAACCTAGGTACTCGTTAAACCTAATGTTATTTAAATAGATCAATTGAAAATCAATTCGGCCAAATGGAAATTCGCTTAGACGGCAGGTTTGCTGCGGCGGGGGTATTTACAATTAGTATGAACATCACACACCGTTATCGTTAGGGTTACGTTAGGGTTGTATGCAGTAAAAATGTGTGTCTTAAAAACGTGTTGGATTTTACATAAATGAATTAAACATGTGCTACAAAGTTTAACCGTCATTCATGTTGTTTGGAGGTACAAATTATGTTTTCATTTAACTGTCGGCTTGTGGGAACTAGAGATTATATTTGCACAACGCTGAAATCAGGGGACGCAAATGAGTGAAGGACGACTTCTGGGATGTGTACCCACTCGGCTTTGCTAGCCTTATTTTCATGTTTCATTATGAGGATTCTGTGAAGGTTTGTTATACAATCGAGGGGATCATGTAGATGCTATTTTTGTATTCTGAGACTAAGAGTGGTGCGGAATAACTCTTGTGGCTAAATAGGCTAATTACCTTGTCTCGCAGATCATTGCGTGTCAACTAACATGTTGACCTATGTAGCATCATCAGGTGGCACAATAAATAGTTATTTGGGTAACTAAACAAGGACGCGCATATTATATGGTACAGCTTGGTTATTTCGAGTTGGAAAGGAGGAGTCTTTGTCTCCCGGGTGAGTTAACGTTCTTCCCGGTCCAGGAATTCCCTCTTTGTTTAAAAACGTCTTATTTATACATCTCTCATGATCGTTAGCGATGTTTTGGCATTCGAGAGTTGGGGAGCCAAGTGTGGGAGAGAGACAGAAAAACATCTGTGGAAGAGAGCCGATAAATTGCCATCTTCAGCAGTTCTGGTTGTTAGACAATAGGCTCTACTTTGACGGTTGAAGTTATATCTAAATATGACAATTTGTTTGAATATTTGTGTTTGGTGATATTTAGAAGTAAAACATACATTATTGCTGAACATTTCCATAATTAATTATAATGTAAAGTTTGTCGACGTTTTGGGATCTAGAGTTAAATCCTGTCTTCAGGATAGCCAATAGAAAGAAGAGAAAATATTTTTTTTTCAGTTGGAATGAAAAATATATTCCAGATCCCAGAACATAGCAAAATATTTTACTATTTGGGGAAATGTCCGAAATAACCCTGTGCCGTTAACAACCTTAATATGCCGTTCCCAAATTTACTGTACAAACCAGGTCTCTTTTGGGTTTTACCTTTTACTTTTCTATCTACACCGACAGAGATTCGTTATAGTTTCAGTTTGTTAGGTTTGTACAAAAATAGGCTGAATTAGAGCTCCCAATTAGTGTATTCAAGCCAAGTGTTTTTGAATCTAGAAATAAAATGCGTAACAACAAATTATGCAGGACAGGCCTAAGTTCATGGTTGTAGTTTACTGTCCTTATTGTTACAATATAACATTGTTTTGCCAACACTTTTGGTAGTTTGATGTATGATCAGGTTTCAAAGGGCGTATTGAGTTTCCGTAAGGTAATCTAATCAGGGAATTCCACGGTTGGTTAGTGTATGGAATAAACGCAGCGCCTTCAATCAGCTCAATACACTTGCTACACTTAGCTGCTTTGCTGGTAGCTGTCAGCTGTCGCGGCTTGGAAACAACGAAGGGCTTAAAATATTAATTTAAAATAAAACTTTTAAAGAAATACAAACTAGAATCAGAAGCTTTTTTTATTTCAAGGGTGTATTCTTTTAAAGAAAATGGGGTAGATTTTTGTTACTTTTTAAGAAATTTAACATGGTATTTTCTGTGTAAATAAGTTTCAGTCAGTTAAAAATTCATTTATCAAATTTTAAACTAGTTCGTCCAATTTATTTTGTAATTATAGAATTATTCATTTTCTGGTTCTTTGATAGCATCAACAAATAATATAAGTTTAAAAAGCAATACAAATAATCTTGGAACCGGGTTCATTTTTTAATTTTTTTTTTTATTTACTTCAAGCTATCTTGTAGAACTTATTGAAACATAGACCTTTGTTCGATCATACTGTGTTGAATAAAATGTATTTATAATTTAAAAAACAAATCAGAAATTTAAAACTTAAATTCGTTAATTACAGAGATTGTGAAGTGTCAGTAATGACAGTTTATGTTTTTTTGGCATTCAAATTGACTCTTGGAATATGGCAAGTGGCAAGCAAGGAACTGTATATGAAAGTTCACATGTCTCAAGCTTTTGTGAGGTCATAAACTGTTTATAACCTCATAACTTTCACTGGTCCTCTGAAACCAACATCTTTTATCACCCAGTTAAAACAGCTGTTATGTCAGTTAAGTGTTGGTCACTTTTGTTAACGGGTTACTGAAATGTATAAAACTGAACACATAACTTGAATTTAAGCAAGTGTTTTTTATTATACATTTTTATATTATTCTAAATTTAATTCCGAGCCCAACAATATACATCGTAAAGTGGTTCAAGCCTCAGAATAGATTATCAAAATTATTACGACACTTAAACTTTTTACCAATCATGGGACACATGGTGGAAGGAAATGCCTGGATCAACTAGTTCACAGAGTGTTTATACAATGTTAGTTGGTAATGATAGGCCTACGCCTTTTAAATCTTCTTTAGGTTTTTAGACGCGAATGTCTACGAATTGAATCTAAAACTAAAAAAAATCTTTCCATATGCCTAATTCATGGCACTATGCCATTATAAAGTCCAGTTTTGTTCATACTATGAGAAAAATCAATTTGGAAGAGTTGTCAAAGGAAACCACTCATTGTAATACCTAGTTTGACTCAATACTCACATATAGACGCTCTCGAATCACCTAGATATTACTACTCTTGCTTTAAGTATTATTAGATGAAACTTATTCCCAATAATGAGAATCTAACCTAACCATTTTTTGCCTTTAGGTTCTCGGCAATGGAAATCTCGTCTTTCCTCCGTTCCGAGCAGAGGATTACAGACAAGAAGTTCATGCTCAGGTTTACGTCTGTCTCGCCAAAAATTCCGTGGGTTCCATACACTCACGGGATGTCAATGTTAGAGCAGGTGGGTCGCTAACGATATCTGTTTAAATAGTTTAAGTCGTCTAAAATGGTAATTCCTGTAATTGAAAATAAAATAGCAAAATCATTTTTTGAATGGACTTGTTTATACAAAGCTGTTTATTATATCAGTATTTTAAAATTTTTCCCTACAGCTTCGAGAAAGTACTTTTGAGAAAGTAATTCCAGGTTTTATAACAAGAGAATTGAACAGTTATAGTATAGTAATGTAGGCCTATGTTAAATTTTAGTTATGCCTAGTTTCAAATACCGTAATGTGATACCATCTGTAACAATCAGTGATAAAAAGATTTAAGAAATCCTGTATTACAAAATTTGTAAAAACAAAACGAATTACAATATTTAAAAATAAAAAAAAATTGGAAAAGTAAGTTTACTATCATAGGAATTATTGCCTTACTAGTTGATAAAATATTTGATTTACAACAACTCAGTAGGCCTATGGATATATATTTAAACTTGAAAGGTGAATAACTTACTAAGGTAAAAGAATAGGTATTTGGTTTCTCTTGGTTTCTTGGCAGAATGAAATAAAAGATACTTCAACGTCGAGAAATATATCGGGGCCTCAGAATAAAACTGCACTTAAAGAAGATTGACTTCAGTACTTGAGTTCCTATTCATTTCGTTGCTCAATATCTCAATGAGAAGAAAGCCTTTTTGGAGGCGAATCACAAAAGTAAACTTCTATTGTTTGTTTTCGGGATCGTTTAATGTCTTCTTTCTTCTGGAGAGTGATTTGCCTGAATTTTAATCCCAAATTTGCAGTCGCAACGTTGATGTTTTTATTCTGGATGGATTGTGGACCCATTGCCAATTTTTTACTGGACTTTTTTACTGGAAGAGAGTTACTCTAAAAAGTATTACCATTGGCTACAAACCTCGGTTTATAGTCACTGGTAGGATGGATGATTACTGAAATTGATCGAGTTCTTGTTATTTTAATTAAATCAACTTAAAATTGTTACTTGCAAGTCTTGTAATACTATTCTTAAATTTCATGTTGTATTTCTTAATCGTGTATTCCAATTAAACATTTTTAATTGGTAATTGGAGTAACTGAAGGACTTGCAGAGAAATTATTAATTTAAACTTTGGAATTTATTTACTTAACTGTGAACACCATTTTACATTGTACATTTGAATTATTTTTTACAGATTAAAATTTACAGGAATTAAAAGTTCAAGAAGTTTCGAATAATTTTAAACAAAAATACAGCTAAACAAAATACCCACTAAATATTTTTCATAGTGTATGAAACTTTTTACTTCTAAGGATTGTATACAAGTTGTCAAGTTTTCTGGCGCACAAACTGAAGTGTCCTCGAGGTTTGTTAGTCCTGGAGGTGAACCCTCTGGTCTCAGACGTCCTCAAGGAATGTTATTACCATAACAACTGCCTCTAACAACCTGAGTCCTGTCTGCTTCTTATTCTTCATCTTTTCTTCTAATTATGTGATTAGTTGACTTTTCTTCACTCATTGTCTTGCCGTGTTTTGTAACGGTAACATGAGCACCATGAAATTTCTTTATGGGATGTTTTACAATAGCGTTTTGTAGTTGTGGTAAAACGTAAAATTAAGTTTGTTGCTTAGTATTTAATATTTATGCTATACTCTTGTTTGCCATGCTCTTTGTTCAAATTGGTTGAATTTTAAAAGTATCTAAACCATTTGAATTCTTAATGTCTAATCAACTTATATTTTTGTAAACATATTGAAAAAGATCTAATATGTTAAGTTACTTTTCTTTTGCCATAAAGTTTCACCTTTGATTCTAATTTGACAATGTTAAGGTTTACTACAGTTTTTTATAATTTACAAACTATTTTTCCGCCACAGTTGTGGCTCAGGAGTACGATACAGATGTCAACAAAGAGTACGCCATCCGAGGCAACTCTGCAGTACTCAAATGTCAAGTGCCATCGTTTGTAGCCGACTTTGTCTCGGTTGTTTCCTGGCATACAGATCTCGGCGAGGAGTATTTCCCCGGAACCAACTTTGGTAAATGTTTACTAAAGCTTGGTTGGAGTCATGACCAAAATATAAATGTTTTTGAATTTGTTTGTAACCCTTCTATTCTGTCGGTCATATTTGGTCTAATACTCCTTCCAATGCAGTTTACAGGATTTCTCAGTGTGATTGTCTAGAGAGGATGTAATCCGGAATTCTCATACTACCTCTTGTCCTTCATTTCCTGACTCAGTTTAAAGGGTAACAGAGAATACGATATGCATTTATAGCCTGAGCTTAACAAATTCAGATATCACGAGCAACTAAATTATGTTTTTAAATACTACAGCCAAAGTTTCCACGTTTCTATTTAACATTTTAATTCACAGGGTACGTGCCATTAATTAAATAACACGCCTTAACCTGAAAAGAGATAAACTTATTTGGAGACGTGAATATTAAAATGTAAATAATAGCCTAATATTATTACCGATTCATTTATAGTTGGTACCTATAAAATTTTTTATCTTTGGCCTAACTATTAAGCTTATTAGTACTTTTTTTATTTTTTCAAACGATTCGTCTATTTTAATTTATTATTCTTCTCCAAGCAATAAAATCTTCATCGTCTCCAACCAAAAATTAGTTAAATTCTATGCCAAACCATGCACATTAAAATTTAATTTAATTTTTTATAAAAACATCCAAGTTTCAACCTACGAGTGAATTACCAATAACACCTACAGCCAAGTCCAATTCCCAACAATTCCAGACTAAACTATTTTCCACAATAAAATTTATTACAAAATTGTCTCATCGACCAATCTCCTCAGTTGTGCAGCAAGTTTACCAGAGTGAGGTGAACAACGAGTATGTTATCCGTGGCAACGCTGCAGTGCTGAAGTGTAGCATCCCCTCCTTCGTGGCAGACTTTGTCACGGTTGTCGCGTGGCAAGATGATCAGGGAGACAGTTTCACCAGTGATGCAGGGTCCAAGAGTTATGGTACTGGGAAATTTCTTCAGGAGGCTACATTTGCCTTTCCATTCAACTGTGAAGTAAACTGATTCTTAAATTTTCTGACTGGATTGGTAGCTCATTTCATCAAAAGACTAGTGCCATAAACTTTTTTTACAGTAATTGTATCTGAGAAAATTGTCAAAGGCACTAAACTTAAACTGTTGTAAATCAATCTTCAATTTTTATTATCTTCCATCATTCAAAAATCCACGAAATATTTAAATGTAGCCTACAGATCATGAAAAGTAGGCTATATGATGTGTATAAGATACAAATTAAATTTCTTGTAAAATATTTGAATTCTTCGTGTTCACTAAACCTGATAACTAAGGTATTTTGGTTCTATAAATCTTTTTTCATACTGGAATACATTTGTTAAAAATTAACAAACACTTAAACCATGCCTATACAAAATCATCATGTCATTAAGGCATTCCAAAACCACCCCAATTCACTTCAAATCAAAACATTAACCCCTATTGTTTACACATTTGAATGGAAAGGTAAACCTTGTTATGGTACAAGAATGAATGTACCCTTCTTATCCCATTCGTCCCATGGACTACCAATATTTTTTTAATGTTGAACGTTTTTAACAGTTGTCAATCAGTACTACGATGCAGAGGTGGTGTCCGAGTATGTTATACGAGGGAACACGGCAGTCCTCAAGTGTAACATCCCCTCGTTTGTCGCAGACTTTGTTAAAGTGGAGTCTTGGGTCTCGACAGATGGGTCGTTGTATCTCCCTTCAAGTGACTATGGTAGAACCCTTCCCTAATGATGTACTTTCGGAAACTGTTTAGCTTGCAAGCAACAATTGAAAGTTAAGGTATATGATTGTTAAACAAACTCGCGTTATTAAGACAATCGATGTAAAAGTTTGAGGTTGTTCTTGCAAGGCTAAACTGTTTCCACCACAGTATTGTGTGAATGGGGTGTAAATGATGTCAAGTTCTTCTTTTCTGCTGATCTCATAGAACTTATGTTAATTTATGTTTAATTTTCAATTTCTCTACCTACACTTATCATTTTGGTGAGGTGTAAATCACAGTTTTAGGTTTTGTAGGACGACTTAGTAAATGGTTTCTGAGTCGATGGATTGTTATAGTGGTCGGCTTGTAGTCAGAAGGTTCCTCGTTCAGTTTTGTGAAAAAGTACAGTTCTTTGATGGGTCAAAACTGGACCATCTGTCTTCGATCATTGGGATTTTAACAAATGGTTCTTGCTGCAGAAACATAAAGATTAAAGTTAATCACACTTCTTCTACATCCACCCTGCATTCATACTATGCTCCAAATACTCAAAAGCATTCGACTGTATTAAAGATTATAAGTGAAGGTCTAAAAATATACCATCGGCTTTTATCAGTACTCTTACTTTTATTGCTTGATAGATAATACGATACTGGCCAACAATTGTGGTAGGTAAATTCGAAGTTAACTTGCAAGCTAAACCATGTTCTATTATAGAAAAATTTAAATTTATTGAATTATTAATATTTTTATTTTAGGTTAAATAGACTATTTGGTGTTCAAACTAGTACCTTTGAAAATGGCTCTTCTTTGTTGAACTAACTCTCAATATAATTCTTGTTATTTTCTCAATGATTTGTCTAAAATTAAGTTGTTGAATCTACCAGGAACCAAAGTAGGAAACACTCCTTCCCCTTCTTTGACTGACAGATGTTTCTCTTCAGGAAATTGTCACTGAAATTCATCCAGTCGCTTCAATCAGATGTTTCAGTGGAACGTTTACAGACTGTTATTTCACTTAATGTTTTCTGTCCTATCTATTTACGGGCTATAATTTTCTAACTACGGTATGCACTTTAGATCATTTTAAAATAATTTTTTTTACTTTTATACCTTCTTCTTCCCTCCCTACTTTGTTAGCTTAACTCTTTACATTGATCCCTATACATAGCTTAACTATTTACATAGATTTTGACTAATTTTTATAATTGGTATCCAGTGGTAAACCAAAAGTATGAAGCGGAGATCATGACAGAATATGTCATTCGGGGGAACACTGCTGTCCTGAAGTGCAGCATTCCCTCCTTTGTAGCGGATTTTGTCCAAGTGGAATCGTGGATATCAGAGGACGGGATGTTGTTTCAACCTCCTTCTCGGACAGACGGGCAGGAGGTTTATGGTAACTTAAAAAAATTTTTTTCTAGGATTCTGACATTGTCTGATTGGTTAAAAGATTTTAGTTGGAAAAGCTACTTGTTTGTACTTTCTGGCAAGATTTTTAAAATATAGCTTTTCACTCAATCAATTGAATAAAGTAAAAAACAATTAACAGTTTTTTACAATAAAGAGAATACCATAAAAAATCGTTTTCTGAAAGTTTTACCCAAAAGTAAAAAATGAAACTAAAAAAAAATAATAAAACCTACCTACTTAAAAGTTTATATTTTTTCGGCTTCATAGAAAATATCAATTCTTTACTATAAATATGGTATTGATAAAATCTTAAACAGTAAATATGAAATTTAATACCAACTGTTCAAATCATTTTGAGTTAAGTTTCTTTGTGTAATATTGTTCTAATTTATATTTGATAATAATTCATGTTTTCTGTTTGATGATTGTAAATTCTAAATACCAATATAAACAAACCAATTACTACCTAAAAATGTAAATCATACTACCAAAATGGTGTTTATTTATTTCAACCCATTTAAACCTGTTAAATTTGAAGAAATTATAAAAAATATGTCAAGGATACGAATAAAAATGTGACTAAAATTCCACCAACCATCAGACAGTATCAGAACGCAAAAGTGTGTCTTGGTGATATCCAAAACCAACTCCAGTTTCCCACCGACACTGGCCCACCGATGACAGATCTCTACCGTTGTGGTTGTCTCGCAGCATCGGGTTACACCTGTGTCACATCTTGGTTACAGTTGTTTCCCAGAACTACATCACAGAAGCAGAAAACGAGTACGTCATACGTGGCAACAGCGCAGTCATGAAGTGCAAAATACCCAGCTTTGTGGCTGATTTTGTGTCTGTTGAATCCTGGGTGTCCAACGAAGGGGACATGTATACGGTGTCTGGAAATGGGAATGATTTTGGTAAATTTGAGTGAGAATTTTGCGATGCGAGTGAAAATGATTGGTTGCTGGACCTGGCTCAGAGCAAAATGATTTTTGTCAGTAATCTGAGTTTTGTTTTAGTTTTGCCAAATAATGTAATTTTTGAGAACTGCAGTCTTTTAAAATGCTACAAAGTGGTCCTTTAATTTTATTATTTGATATCAGTGTCAAAACCTGTATATAGGCCGAACTCATATATCTTTTAGGAAGTTTTATTGAATAACATCAATTCCAGTAGAGCTCTTTCTTCTCCATGGTTAGATATCAAACTATCTTGCTTTCTTTCAGGAACTAGTATTACGAAAACTGAACATTGCTTTAAATGTCGGGAGTAAAATTATTTTATTTATTTACAGTGGTGATTCAACCCTATGAGGCAGAGGCAGATAACGAGTATGTAATTCGAGGCAACAGCGTTGTAATGAAATGTGAAGTACCTAGTTTTGTCGCAGATTTTGTTTCCGTTACAATGTGGCAAGATAGTGCTGGAAATGAGTTTTTCCCCAGTAACGACTATGGTAAAATATTTTCCTTTCTAACACGAATGACTGGAAGTTTCCCTTCCTGACAGATATTCCCTTTTACTTTTCGATCCTAATTTTATTCCTGTTATCAGTTGTAATCCAGACTTACGACATTGACGCTGACAAGGAATACGTGATAAGAGGCAACAGTGTGGTTTTGAAGTGTAAAGTCCCGAGCTTTGTTGCCGATTTTGTTGCAGTCACCATGTGGGAAGATAGTGAAGGAAATACGTTTTATCCCTCTAACGATTATGGTAATAATTACAGATGCTAGAACTGGATGGATGATTTCCTCTCACCTATATCTATCCTTTGAATTTTCATTGACCATTTGTTTGAATTAAAGCTTCATCAATTAGAAGAGTAGGCCCAATAGGAGAAATTTACTTGTTGCAAATGTTTTCACTACTTTTAGTTTTCAACAGTTTATGTTTATTTTATTTTGCACAGTGGTGATGCAGCCTTACGATGTCGATGTGGAAAAAGAGTACGCCATTAGAGGCAACAGTGTAGTCCTGAAGTGCAAAGTGCCTAGTTTTGTAGCCGACTTCATATCAGTCACTATGTGGCAGGATAGTGAAGGAAATGAGTTCTTCCCCAGCAACACTTATGGTACATCAACTGATATTTTTGCAAAAGAGCGAGTGAATTTTTCCATCAGAAGGTTTTCCCATCCTCCTTCCTCTACAAGTTTCGGGTCTGCCATCAATTATTTTAGTTATTAATTTTTCCTTACATTTGAAAAACATGTTTTCCAATATTGCATTTTTTCCAGTTGTAATGCAGTCGTATGAAGCAGATGTGGAAAGAGAGTATGCCATTCGTGGAAACAGTGTGGTGCTGAAATGCAAAGTGCCTAGTTTTGTCGCTGATTTTGTTTCTGTCACAAGTTGGCATGATAGTGAAGGAAATGAATTTTTCCCAAGTGATGTATATGGTAATTTCACGTTTCTGTCATTCAGTGTGAATGATGATCATCACCACCTTCATCTTCAAATCTCCTTTGTGCAATCCTTGAACAACCTTAACTTGATATCCTGCAACCACTTCTTTGCCAGAAAGGTTTTTCTTCTGTGGAGTTCTATGTTTTGCATTGTTTTCAGTTGTGATCCAGTCTTATGAAGCAGATGCTCACAATGTTTACGCTATCCGTGGCAACAGCGTTGTCGTAAAGTGTGAAGTGCCCAGTTTTGTTGCGGATTTTGTTTCCGTGGTCGGATGGGTCGACAGTGACGGCAACAGTTATGATCCCAATAGAGACTTTGGTAAAAACTAAAACATTTTTTAAAAGTTTTTGGACATGTGTGACTGTTACCCATAAATCCTCCCACCATAGTTTCACTAATAAATTCATATTTTTCCCAGTTGTCCACCAGTTCTACCAGACTCGAGTGATTGACGAGTTTGTTTTACGAGGCAACACTGGTGTCCTCAAGTGCCTCGTTCCCAGTTTTGTGGCTGATTTTGTCCAAGTTATTGATTGGACTTCAGATGCTGGAGATTCCTACACATTAGCTCACGTGAATGACATTCCTGACTATGGTATTGCAAATCTCCGCCTGTATCGTAGATTCCCTTGAATGGATCAACTAGCCCACTATTGTTTTTGTATCCCTATTTTTTATTTTCCCAATTTTTTGTTTGTTATTTTTTAATGACAAAACTTTTTCAGTTGTTCAACAGTTCTACCAAACTCGAGTGAACGATGAATTTGTTCTAAGAGGAAACACGGGAACTTTAAAGTGCCTTGTCCCAAGTTTTGTTGCTGATTTTGTTCAAGTTGTTGAGTGGACTTCTGATGAGGGAAATACTTATTCTGCCCAAATATCAAGTGATGTTTTAAACTACGGTATGCAATATCAGTCTAGTAGTCAAGCTTGAATGAGGGAGAATATGTGTATTCCTCTTTAAGTTCTTCTATAACTTTTAATCATTTGATAATTTTCCCCTACATCACTAACAAGAAAATCCTTTTGTTTCAGTTGTAAACCAGTATTACGAAGCTCAGGTTTATGATGTTTTTGTCATCAAAGGCAACGCAGCCGTGTTCAAATGTAATGTGCCTTCTTTTGTGTCTGACCATTTGGATATCGTTTCTTGGGAAGACACAGCTGGAAACAAATTTTTACCCCCTTCTGATTCTAATTATGGTAACTTTTTTGTTTTTATTTCACACTTAGGCTGCGTATGCAATGAATCCTCCAATACCATTTTCTTCCTATTCTTTGTTTTTGTTGTTTATTTCAAAAGTGAATTAGTTCAAAATGCATCCCTTCGTAGAAAAGATATGGTAACTGTCATTCATTGTATCCCTAAGTTTTGATTTTCCTTAGAAAATCTTGGGTTTCACAGTTGTTACATTCAGCACATAGGCGATTTTGTCAGTAGACAGGCAATTTCACTTCTAATAGTTTGTTTGGAATTTAACTGGCACCACTGAACAAGCTAGGAAGCAAGTCCTTCATTTCTTCAACCGAGTACCGTAACTTGTGGGTTTCATCAAAAGTCTGACCGGAGTTTTTATTTTTCAGTGGTGACTCAACGATACGAAGTCAGCGTGATGGAGGAATATGTACTCCGAGGAAACGCAGCCATTTTAAAATGTCACATTCCGAGCTTTGTCGCTGATTTCGTTTATGTTGCTTCTTGGCTTCAAGACGGTGAAACTGAATTGCTCCCCTCAAACACAGACTTTGGTACTTTTCTTTTGTGTTTTTGATTGCAGGGTTTCCGACATTTGGGCCAGGTCCTTTCCTACTCCTTCTCTTTCCCTCCTACATGATTACATTTTTTTCGTAAACCCCTCCTGAGTGACTGAGATGTACGAATGTTGTAGGTGTAGAAGTAGTTTTGAAAGTAGCTTTAGGTTTGTTCTAGTCACTTCTCTCAAAATTGAAATTTGACGAATGTTATTTGAATTGAAACAAATCCTACTAATAATGAACATGACCAAAACACTCTTAGTATGAAGCATATGTTTATTTACTTATTTTGACACTAACAAATATTTTGTTGATTCAAAGTGTCAAAAGTGCAAAGAAAATAAAACTGTGTGTTTACTGCACCCTGGGGAAAAAACCCTGGGAAACAATTTTAGAAGTGCCTAGAACATTTTAGATTTAAGAAAATTAGAGCCTAATAATGCATGCTTGTTTATTGAACATGGCTACAAGCCTGTTAAAATGAAGTAATAGTAATGAAATATCACTAGAAAACTGGTATAAGAAACATTGAAATAAGAAAATATGCTATAGCGTATCCATAGTCAAATCTTTGATAGTTATCTGACAAAAAGAACGTTTGATACAATAGTTTTTCAAATATTTAAATTTATTTCTAACATAAATATGATTTTAACCATGTTCTAACAATTTGGCTTTATTATTTTTACAAATACTGCATGATGATTCCAATCAATTCAGATATATTTTCAAGTTTCATTTACAGAACCGTCTAAATCACCTTAAAAAAAGTAAATGTCTGTATTTAAACTTTTGATACTACTATTGGACCAATTTAAATAAACAACCACTTGCCAATACAAAAACTTATAAAAGCATATCTTAGTGATAAGATTAAGTTCAACTTAGAGGGTACTGAGAAGACTTTTGTTCCCCAGATGGCAAGTACCTGGTGCTTCCTTCAGGAGAGTTACACATCCGGGATGTTGGCCCGGAAGATGGCTACAAGTCGTACCAATGTAGAACCAAACATAGGCTAACAGGAGAGACTAGACTGAGTGCAACTAAGGGAAGACTTGTCATCACTGGTAAGTGTAGATTTTACTTAGACACTGACAACATGGGATGAACAAAATCCATGATTTTTATAAATTAATGTAAAAGTAATTTTTATGAAACATCTTAAGTTGTTCTTGTAAGTTTTTCAACAGTGCAAAGTTTGACTGGGGCTAAATATTGTTACGGTGGATACAAAAATATATATTTCTTATTTTTCATATTAACTGATTGTGAAATTTTCTATTTAAAGAAATAAACAGTTTTTACTGTCTCATAAATTAAAAGTATTGATATTAGTTTCCATTTTAAATCCTTAAAAGAGGGAAGGAACCGCTTCAAATTGCTTACAGTGGTTAAACAGTTTGATTACTTAAAAATGTTAGTTATTTATTCACAAATTACAAACTGTTTACATGATATTTTCTGTATTTGTTCTCTTGATGCATAACCGAATTAACTGTTTCTGTAATCTTGTTAATTTTACACATTTAAATTTTTAAATTTTTTTGTTACAATGCACGATAAGTAATAAACAATTTTAGTTAGTTAGTTAATTACAATTTTACATCCCATGTTGACAGTCAAGATGTTAATTAATATTTGTTATATACAAAAAATATATATGTTGCTGTGCTATAAAAAATGTCTGTCAAAATTAATTTTTACTCATTTATTAAGCAATAATGATTTTTTTTTTATTCTGTAGCTGTGTAAATTAAATGTTTTTCACCATGCTTTTTGTTGAAAAACCACAATTTACATGTTCTTTTTTATAGCCACAGCAAATATTTTAAATATGAATTTCTTAGAGTTACCGGTATTCCAAATGTATGAATTAGAGTTTTGTACCAAAATTATTGTTTGTATACATTTTTGTTTTGTCAGATGAATCATTATTTCTAAACTAATGTAGTTTTCCTTAATTTGTGTAGCCTTGGTTGATTTAATGTGCACTAGTGCACAATTTAAAATTAATTTTATTTGAAAAGTTGTACATGGTATCTAAACTCTAATTGATACATTTAAAAATCTTGTTTTAAATAGTTTAACATGTTAGAGTGCTTCAACATTGTGCATGATAGTTTAAAGCTTTAGAATAAATTCACATATTTATTTACGGTATTTCAAATTCCATCTCTTCTATATTTAGTTATTTTTTCAAAGTAATTTGTGAAATTATTATTGCTTTTAGATTCTTTAAGGACCAGTAAAAACTGATCTTTTTATGCTTTCAATGTGATTTAAGAATCATTACGTCTTCCTTTTAAGTGTTTTTATGATAAATGTGTGACATCAATGATGGAGATTGATACAAAATATGTGTATCTACCTTTGCTGATCCATGAAGATCTTGGTAAACAATGTTGTGAAACACAGAGAAAAGTAAAGCAAATTGCAATAGTAGTCCGAAATGAGACTTTAAAGTGGTTAATATTATTTTATACTAAAAATAGCTCTGTAATATGAACATTTACCAAGTCAATTCTAAATATTAATCATTGATGATTAAGCCTACTATGAACATAGGCCTAATTTAAAATTAAATACTTTTCAAAACTAAGTAGTACCTTTTAGTTTATATTGATTACAATTATTAATGGTTTCCAATGTGATTCTGACTTGGATTAACAATATAGATTTAGCTCTCTAACGATGGGGTTGATGTTAATGTTACTGTTTGGATCATCTTAGTTCCTCATTACAGTTTTTAATATTGACTCAGCCCCCCAGCTAATTAAAAAAAAATGTATTGTCCGTCAACTCATATCTAAATCATTACTCTGTAAATATAATCAAAGATAGTTCTGTATTATTTCACTTTAGATTTAAAGTACTGTAGTTTCATATTCTGAGTTATCAGCCCCTGTTCCGAGCAGAAAATAAAGCTACTAGAAAATATGTGACTCCATATATGAGAAAATTTTACTCTTCCAGTAAAAATTGAACAAAAATAGTATGTATTTAGTTAATATTAGTTGTGTGAAATGAAGCAAAACAAAACATGTTCAGTTCTATGCACCATACGAACAAAACATGTTTTGTTCTGCTTTTTGTTGAAGCACTCTAACAAAAACTTGAAGCCTGAATGTTGGGATAGGGTACCCCTGCAGCCGGGACATCGCAATTCATTTAACAATTTAAAAATGTCATTAAGAAAACTGTAACGGAAATAGTAGAACTAGAACTCCCTCTTAAGGTGAGTGGAGGTTAAAAATATTCTTACTTTTACTATCAAGATGATCCTTTATACAAATAATATCAAACAAGAAATACATTTGTGATTTGTCTGGATATAAGTGGAGAACACCTAGATATAACATGTGGTATAAGCCATTGGTCAGAGAAACTGGTAGGGATTGCCCTATTGATGACAATGGTTAGAAAATCCAGCACGAATAATTTACATCTTGTAGAAGACATTGGTTAGCAAAACTTGAAGAGTTGTTGGAGAACTGCTCCAACAATGAACCATTTGAATGTTATCGGTGATCATAAATTGATGTGAAATTCATCTGCTTAGTAACTTTTATGCAATATAAGAATAGTTCCAAACAAAACATTGAGTATCACACATTTTTTTGGGAAAGTTGTCTAACTTGATAAAAACAGCTAATGGATCTGTCAACAGATAGCTTTACTACAATACTTCCTGTCGGTAATTGAGTGGTAGGCGTTGGTTGACTTTACTTCCCCATGATATGACAACTACATGACACAGTTGATAAAACAACCGTGGCAGTTTGGTCACTATTAGCTACTACTAGTTACTTCCATACACTTCTATCTTGGAGTTATTTGTAAAAATTTAGTAAAAAAAAATTTCAATTGAAAAATTCATGGATAAAAGCTATATTTCTTCTTTATACCTATTTGTCATCTTTACAAGTTGAATATCTTTCTGTCCTGTATTTAAAAAATGCCTTGAGATTTTGTACTAGGTATATATTATTGTTAGGCATTTCATCCGTTTTGAAATCTACTTAAACCCAAGTTGATCAAGTAAAAAATATTGCTTGTCTTCTGGTATTAAAACCAACGATTAGAATGCAGTAAAATGTAACAGAACATGATATCCACACATATAAAAAGACTCTAGATTATAATAGGCTGAGAAATCTGTTTAGTACGTAACCATTTAAAAATTGCGCTGGAAATGTGTCAATAACTATCAAAACATAAGAAGTAAGAAAATAAGAAAATCAAATGTTCGTTAATTAGAAAGTATTGAAACGAAAGGCAAAAGCAATTTACGATAGGACAAAATTTAGTTTTAAAACGTACATCAAAGTAAGTTTTTTGTTTCACGCAAACATTCTGTTTGCCAGAACCAGTTGGGAGTTCCGCTCCCAAGTTCGCTTCTTTGGAAACAGGGAAAAGTTTTTTAGCAAGGCAGCGTGAGAGCTATGTCATGCTGTGCCCGGCGCAGGGGTTCCCCGTGCCTATGTTCAGGTAAGCATACTCTAGTTGTCTTCCGTAGAGCCAGTGGGCAGCGCGAGACCAAAGTTGTCCTCGGTTATCCCGGCCGGATACCAGACCAGACGCAAAGGTAGTTTCTCTCTACAGTGTCCAGCCCAGGGGTTTCCTGTCCCAAGTTACAGGTTAGTTTGGCAGGCTAAATCTTAGTTGACGCAAGATTGTTACTGTAGTAAACTTACTCTCATTTGAACACTTCGGAATTCTTATCCAAAGTGAAAAATGGCAATAGCTTCTGAAGTTAATGAAAAATAAATGGATACGATTGAAAACTATAGGTTGTGGATTTGTAGGGTCTTTAGACATAGCCGAGCGAGTGAGGGAGTCATAAGCTGTTGGCCTTCCATGCAAAGTCTGAACTAAACAGATCTAAATGGAAAGTAATTCAGTGTGTAAATACAATTAGTGGACATAATAAAGATTTAAATGTAATGGAAGAAATACAACTTACTAGAATTACTTGAATCTATTTTAATGTAATCTAATTCCAAGGGAGATGAATAGGTAAACCTCAACACCTTTTCTTTGATAAAAAGCTACAGCTATTTTCAAGTCTTCCATTCCTCTGTTATATATTAAAGCAAACATTATTAATATTTTATTGAAGACCCTTGTGTATGTACAGTACTTGACATTTCGATACAAAACCTAGATTCTCAATTCATAAGTTGACCAATAATTTCAACATTACATGTTAGGTTCATAGTTAAAATTCTTGTAGAAAAAAAACTAACACCTGAAAGTTTCCCTCCTAGCAAACTACAAATTTGTTGTGAACCATCTGCAAAAAAAACCTATTCCTGCTAGTAGTACACTTTTCTAATAGCTTGACATGTTTACAAAGTTAATGTTATAAATTCTAAACAATCAAATTTCACCAGAGCCTGTTGGAAGTGCCCGTCCAAAGTTTTCTTCAGTTTCCAACACTCAGGGGTTTACCACAAGCAGTTTGAGCCAGTTTGCTTTGCAATGTCCTGCGCAAGGGTTTCCTGTCCCAAGTTATAGGTCAGTGATTAACAAATTACCATACTTCATAAGTTTGTTAAATTGTGTAACGTAAACATACTCGGAAATGTCTTAACCTTAATGAACAATGGGGTTTGTCACAAGCTAGAGCCAGTCGGAAGTTCTCGACCTAAAACTTCAATTCAGGCAGATTCTCAAAGTTTCTCAGGCTCAAGTAGTTCAAGTATCACACTTCAATGTCCAGCTCAGGGGTTTCCAGTTCCCAGCTTCAGGTAGATCTTGAATTTCCTAAATTTTATTTTTTTTATTTTAAGAACCAGTTAGTGCAACCAAACCTAAGTTTCCTAACAAGAACAAGCCAGATCTACAAACAGAAACTAAGGCGTCTACAGTTCTTCTGTGTCCCGCGCAAGGATTTCCTCTCCCTTCATTCAGGTAGCTGTAAAATTGTACGTGAATTTTACTCTTTGCTTCAATCTTTTCCAAGAACCAGTCAGTGCGACCAAACCAAAGTTTCCAAACAAAAACAATGTCAATCTGCAAACTGAGAAGAAAATATCCACGGTTCTGCTTTGCCCAGCGCAAGGAT